GGACGTCGCGCAGGGGGTCCGCCGCGGCGCCGTGCTCAAGGGCCGCCTGGCGCTCGAAGTCGTCGAAAATGTGGAGAAACAGGCGCGTCGCGGAGGGGTCGTCCTCGCGCTGCTCGACCACGAGCTCCGCGCCGCCGCTCACGACCGCCGCGACGAGGTGGTCGGGGATGAGCAGAGTCGGGATGGCGCCGGGGGCATCGCCGCTGGATGCCATGCACCGATGCTACAAAGGATAATCACAGAGGTCTAAAAAGGGGGGGACAAAAGCCTCAAGGAAATTGAAAGGGATAAAAGTGTGCGTGGAAGGAAAATGAAAGGAATCATCATCATCATCATCAACTACACACCGCGTAGTTTTTTTTTTTTAAAGGTTACAGGGGATAAAATAGATTTTAAAATGAAAAGAAATGAGTCAAACGCAAACACACTGAGTTCTATATAGCCTACAAGGGGGGAACGAAAGATTTCTTAACACCCAATTGGCAACAACAAGATGCATTGTGGTATTAAGGCGAAAAATTAACGGTTATCGAAAAATACTGGAGCATCTATCTATGTATTATTTTAATTTATACTTCTAAGAACCTGAAAGTTCAAAATATATCTCATTTTGTCATTGCGTTATTTCTTCTCACCGAAGTTCTAAATAAAACAATGGAAGAACGAGTTTAATTGCCCCTCAGTCAACCACGTGTACAGCTGTCCTTGTATATTCTAGGATAGATTTTTAAAAAGTTGTATCTAAGGAAATGAAAATGGAATGAACAAAGGATAAAGAAATATAAATTTCTTCTTTATAACCCTCAGACAGTTCTGCTTCTTACTATAAGGGGAGCGTGTACGACGCCCTCTTCTTCTTCTGTCTTTTTTTTTTGCGGATATCGGTTTTATCCTTTTTCATTTATGTAATATCTCTCCCCTCCCCTCACTATCGATGACGAATAATAGAGGAGGGAAGGATTAAATTAGTCTGCCGGCTACGGCCGCGGCCGCGGCCGCCATTTCGCCGCGCTTCTGGAAGTCCTCCCGACTGCATCATCATATCGTCAAACTTCGATGGGCTCGGGAAGGCGGCCTCGAAAAACACCGCCATCGGATCATCCGCACTGGCCTTTGGTGGTTTGGCAGGCGGAGCGACCGGACGAGGGCGTCTCACTCGTGTAGGTTTCACATACACGTCTTCATAATCACCCCCCCCCTCTGCTTCTTCCTCGTCATCGTCGTCGTCGTCGTTGTCGTTCTTTGGGGGAATATAAGAAGAAGGGAGCTTCCCACGGCGGCGGGAAGGCGGAGAAAAGGTGGCCTTCCCGTTTGAACGAACGCCTTGGGCCGTTTTGGCGGGTCGTCCGCGAGTAATCGGTGGTGGTTTATGCACCACTCGACGAGCGACCTCATCCTCAAAAAGGACGTCATCGGGCGCCTGCTCGAGCTGTGATAATGAACGATTCACCACCGGGCGCTTCGGCTTCCGACGAGGAAGCAAAATTGGCTGATCGTCCGCATCCTCAAAATACAGATCCTCCTCGAAATTCGGGACGATGGGTGGTTTATGCGGCTGGATCGAGACATTTCGCTTCACCGAGGCTTTACTTTTCTCACGGGTGGTTGAACGAGTCTTCGGGAGATCAGGCAACACCACACTACGGCTTTTGGAAAGGGAAACCCCATGTCGCCCCCCCCTTGGCCCATCCACCATCTCCTTATGATATTGAACCGGATCTTCTTCTTCTTCGTTCCCCAGAGACGCCCGCGAGTCGGTGTCGCTGCTATTGGAATCGAGATCCGACCAGTTAATCACCAAGACGCTACGCTTGCTCTTGGTTCGCTTACGCTGCGCGATGATATCCGAGACGATCGCCTGCAATTTCCGCCGCCGCCGCTCCTCATCGCCGTTGTCGTCGGCGCATTCGTGGGCGGGAAATTCCAGCAAAGCGGCGTCCGAGACGAGCGGGAGGGATCCCCGCCGGCTC